GAGAGAGAGAAAGCAAGCGAGCGAGCGAACAAGAGAGAGAGAGAGAGAGAGAGAGAGAGAGAGAGAGAGAGAGAGATAATTATTTATGTATTTAAAATCCTGTATTATATATACAATTTTTACTTGTCAAATTATATATTATGTATATTAATTACGGGATTAATTACGATTAATTACGGGATGTGACATCGATATAATAAAATTTTTGTGCATGCTACTCACTCACGGTGCACTATATCGTTGGTTGATAAATGTCAAATTGTCAATAGATAAATTATCGTCAATGGATAAAGTCATTTCCTTCAGCGTCTGCGTCTCGAGTGACATCTAGCACGCGTGTCGGCGAACTCGAGACACGCCCGCTCGCATTCGCAGTTTACGTACGGTCATTGATAGGCGGCGTGATTGCAGGGAGGGGATTTGGGAGGGTGGGGATGGGGGGAGGGAAGACATGGCACCGGACACACGGGCACGGGACACGAGGGGTAAACGAGGTGAAGGACCGGTAGTGCGCGCAAGTGGCGCCGCGCACGCTCGTGTGCTCGTTTTGCGATCAGTCGCGAGGAGGTATTTGCCGGCCCCAGGCCCAGAGAAGAGATTTGCCACCGACATTGTATTCCTCTTATCTCTGCGCGTCCTCCCGCGTCGTCGTTCGCGAGATACATATACATGTAGCCCGCGGTACGTCGGATCCCGCGTACGGGCCCCCTAACATCTCCGCGCGTCTCTCGTTATTCGAGCCCCCCTTTCCGAAGGAGCTTACGTATCCGCGTAGAGTGTAAAACGTGAGCCTCGAACGGCTCTACCGCTCCCTCGCTCTCTCTCGGCGTCGAATGGGAGCGAGAGAGAGAACGAACGCGACCGACGATCGTTTCGCAGTGCGGCGGGTGCGGCGCGACGAAGGGGGGGAGGGCGCCTCCCCGTGTCCCGCGCGCGTGGGTGTGCGTGTGCCCGCGGGATAGGTAACGTCGTCGCCGAGTGACAGAAAGGCGGAACGACCCGAGAATAATCCCGAATAAGAGAGAATCTCGTCTCTTTATCCCCCTCGATATCGAGTAGCGTGAAAGTGCGTGTGGAGTGTGTGTGTGTGCGCGCGAGAGTGAGCGCGAGATAGCGAAGAGGAAAAAGAGGAAACGTGACGCACGGGCAAATGACAGCGAAGAGGTGAGGATCAATGTGCCGTGATGGCTGAGGAGGAGCTGCTGGTCACCCTGTGCCGCGGCGACTCCGGTGGCTCATTCGGCTTTTCGTTGCTCGGCGCCTCGGCGGGCCTGCCGGCCGCCCACGTCATCTACGATATCGTCGAGAATTCACCGGCGGCCAACAGCGGCAAGGTAAGATAAGAGAGCGTGGAAAGGTCGATTTTCATATGCGATCGCCGTGGGTAATTGATCCGTACAGATAAACAATTCTCGCAAGATCGATTTCCGCGCGCGCGCGCATTTGTATGTATGTGTGTGTGTGTGTGTGTGTTGTGTATGTGTGTGTTCGTGATCTTCGCAAATAATAAACGAAATAAGCGACGCGATTTTGATAAAGTTACTCGTTACACACACATCTCTTTGGCAAAAGAAATTTATCCTTAACAATTTAATAATAATATATAATTTTTTGTAATGTCAATTTTGTGCGTGTAATATAAAAAAAAAAAATGATCCATATAAATATAAAGAGACAATTGTATAATATCGGATTTTTACCTGCATTGGAAATCTTAAAAATAAACATATCAAAGCATTGGATGAAGAGCACGGGAATGAGTGAATAAAAAAATAAGAATATTAAATTGTCATAAAGACACTCGAGTTCTACAAAATGACATTATATTGGCCTGAAAGAAAATGTTATTTTATATGACAATGTTATTTTTATATGTTATTTAATATTGACTAGAAATTGGTTGAGACAATAGTTTGATCTGCTGATTCTCGAGTGATTTCCTTATTTAATTCTTTTGTTTTGAGAAAGGATATCCTTGGAACGCTTCGCGAGTATCGATTGTAGCTATCTTTTAAACACTTTATGCATCTATGATGTAGAGGAAGAGTAAATGTAAAGAGTGCACTTTAGCGCTTTCAGAGGACGACGATGCTGTTCTTCGATTCGTTCTTCTTTAAAATACACGGATAAAAATCGATTAGTCCTAAGCGTATCTTAAACAATCGCGATACTTTGAGTGTGTGAAAATGCTCTGCATTATTTCACTATTTCTATAAACTCAATATTTTTTTTGCTTATTACATATTTTCTTATAGATTTTTAGCCTTAATGTATTATATATAAATTAGCAATATTTGTTAAATTAAATTTTTATTAATTTTTATGTAATTTATTGCCTGAAAGATTATAGCAAAAAATTGAAAATTCTCAATTATTTGTTTATAACT